ATGTACACATTCGCTAGTTTTCCCAATGGGAATAGGTAAATTACAGAAATATCATTATCCTGGTCGCAAAAGCAAAGTTTGAAGGAAATATTAACCATTTTTCATACTTTCAAGTCGTAAACAAATAGAAAATTGCAGTTGCAACCTAAGGACGAAAAAAAATCACGTTACACAGTAATAATTAAATTCTCCACACGTTACCTGACTATAAATTATTAACAACCTCGTCTCTTTTTATCGATTCACTCTTTTACTCTCCTCTTACTGCCACTTCTCTTTACTTCCAACCCTTCCTCCTCTTTTGCGTTTACTCTTACCCCCGACTTTCAATATAACACGCCTCTCTCTCTCTCTCTCTCTCTCTCTATATATATATATATATATATATATATATATATATATGTAAGCAAATATATGGTTATAGATCCGACAGTATGAAGAAAAATATACTGAAAAAAACAAACAAAAATCCTAATATGCGATTATGCTGTTTTAATGTTTAATGTCAACGTCGTACGTTTCGGTCTAATAGACCATCTTCAGGACATATTCATAAAACATAATTAACATAGACCATATACAATTCAACATGAAAAAGACGATGGACATAAAAGCAATACCAATCCAAACAGATAACTGAAATCTTTTATAAGACCAGCGTTCCGTTTAAATATGATCACGTCGTCGTCACGTGGGTGATGTTGGGAAAATGGTGAACACTAGACCTGGCAAGATTAATGCTCGACAAACGTACATATAAGTTTTAGATAAAAAATAAAATTCTTTTCGTTTTTCATTCAAAATACTCAAATTTAAACCATATTTTAAATCAATTAATTTATAATATTAATGCTCTGTAAATTTACATTGAGCACTATTTTGTAAAAATAAAAATATCTATAAGAACACCGGATTTTATATCTTACTGTTCTTTCTTTATATATATATATATAAGATTGTAAGAATTATTTTGAAGATAATAATGATTTACAGATACAAGTACAACTAGTTAACGCATAGCTGGGGGAAAGTGGTTGTCCCATAGCTTTCCCAAGAATATTAGGGAATGTAGCGAACTCGACTGGAAATGGAACTCAGTTCTCCGATTTCCAATGTTATCCATTACACCACCCGCACATCCAAGCTTACAGCTCCTGATACTTCGAAGCGGTGGTTCTGACCAAGCCCGTCGTTGCTTAACTTCTGAATTTTTATCTCTCCTAGATATTCTCATCATATGACTACTTGCCTCTTTTCCGTCCTTACAATAACGTCATTCATTAACGCTCTATCTTAAGTGGCTCTTGAGCCCTTTATTGGGTGATCAGTAATATCAGGAAAAGAGATAAGCTTTTTAGATATTCATGTTTATACAGTGTTGGCTTGTATGAGTTTATTTGCATACAGTTGTACACTTGCCAGGGGATCAAGTAAATGTCGAAAGCAGTCCGATCTTAATATAAATAAAATAAAATTAAATAAAAATTAAATTAAATAAAAATTAAATTAAATAAAATTAAAATTAAATAAAAATAATCTTAGATCTTCAGTTTTGGGCAGCGAACTTTCAACACAGTAATAAAATTGAGATTTTTCTAACAATTACTTCACAAAACAGGTAGCTTAATATTTGCAAAGTTTAGTTTAAGCTGACACAAGGCCATGAATATGATGCACTCAGTGAATATCAAACTCGTTACTTAATAGTAATGATTTCTCTTGTTGGCTTGTTGGCCATCATTTCGCAACGAGATAGTCTTAGATATTTATGTATACGTTTATCAGCGGCCATTTCTTTTTTTCTGTATAACGTTGCTTTTTAGATAAAAATGGACGGTTTAGATCTATTTTTACAGCATCTTATTATTTATGTGAGAATAATGAATCATTTTTTTGGCCCCCAAAAAAAATAATCTTCTTTGTGAAGGAGGGAGATATCTATCTCGTAAATAAAAGATGATAGCTCGATTCGGGCATTTTCATTTTTAATTTTATCGATTGGCTAGATTTTTTTTTTTTTTTTTTTTTACAGTTTGATTTTTAAAGTTCTTAGTTTCGTATTATTTATTTCATTCGTTTCGTATTTTTATTTACTTTTAGTGTTTCTATCATACGTGCAATTGTTCCTTTTTATTTCGTTCTTCGATTTTTTTCTTCCTTTAGCTTCCCTGTATTTTGCTATATTCTTCTTCACACCTATTCCTTTTTAACATTGGGCTTACCTTCCATTACTAAACATTTTCTTTCATTTTCTTTTAACAGTCTCCTCTCGGCTTTATTTTTTCGTTTCATATTACCATATTTGTTCTGTTCGTTGTCTCAGATAGATTAATACGCCAGTCAAATGCTTACAGGTTTATTTTATTTTATTTATATGTTCTTACACTTCTTTTGTCTTTTAATCAACCCACCCTAAGCAAGGCGATAATGCCACTAAGACGCAAGTGTCTACTGGAAGTGAAAGAGAATGAGAAGAATTAATAGGAAAAAAAACGGAAATAAAATCCTAAACACTCAACAAATGTTAAAACCTCTACTCTTGTTCAAAACACTGGGGAAGGAGTGTGAACCGGGCGGTGGAAGAACCTATCTCAGGCTATTGAAGGAAAAAAATAAAAATTAAGGGTTTAGGTGGCAAAAGTTGAGTCGAAGTAGACGTTAGAAGTAAAGGAAAACCCAATCGTCAACAAGAAATTAGAGATAAACCTCTACCCCCTGTTTGGGGGAGGAGTGGAACGGGTGGAAGGCGAAATTTTCTCCTATTGATGGGAAAAATAAATAACAAATG